GCGGGGCTCGATCCTAGGACCCCGGGATCATGACCTGAGCCGAAGGCAGATGCTTAACCATCTGAGCCACCCAGGCATCCCTATTTTATTTTTTTTAAATAGTTTAGTAGACAAAACAGACCTACCTGCTTCATCTAGAAAGATGCCTTTGAGAGTTGATGGCCAGGTAGACAGAGGTAAGATGTGAGAGTCTTCAGGAATTGGCTCTGACAAATGTTCTTTGCTCATGGATAGTGCTGTTTCTTGTTTGCACAGACTTACCCTTTCCATACTCCAGTCAATGCAAAGGTTGTAAAGGACTACTACAAAATCATCACTCGACCAATGGACTTACAAACACTCCGTGAAAATGTGCGCAAACGCCTCTACCCATCTCGGGAAGAGTTCAGAGAGCATTTGGAGCTAATCGTGAAAAATAGTGCAACCTATAATGGTAAGAATCACCTGTCCCTTGACTGCAAAGGTCACCTTTCAGATCCTTATTTGTCTCTTATTAGTCCCAAATTCAGATGAGTTTGGACTGACTGAAAGGATCTACAGTGTATGAGTGCATTTTGGGCTTAGGAAAATCAGATAGTGCACATTTTTGTCATTTACTGTTACTTCTTTTTAGTCCCACTTTTTAACGTATCCTCTGGAGAATTCGGAGTCTCTCTGGTGAAATGAAACAGTTGCAGGGAGATTAGTGGGAGGAAGAAGTGGGCTTGATTAAAAAGAAGGGAGAGACAGTGTGGATGGAACCTATGCACAGTGTGTGCACGTGACCATATTTGCTGTGTATGAATCTTTGATGTGATCTACAGATTTGTTATAGGGGCTCATTACGTGTTCACTTTGCTCCACATCTGGCAGGGGAGGGAGAACGAAATCTGCGTAGTGTCTTAAAAGGGTAGGGGGACACAGTACAGCTTCTGCATGTCAGGGATCAAGGTTTCTGATCTCCACTTGTATCCTTGAGCGCAGATTCGTGTATAAGCGTGGGGATTAAGGGTACAGAGAGAGAATGAATCCCGGCCTTGCCACTTACTGATTAAGTTACCTTAGACAAGTTATCTTAGACAACCTCTCACAGTCTTCTCAGTTTTGTCATCTGTAAGCGTGGCAGTACCTAGATTCCGAGACCTTTTATAGCAAGCCTGACCCACTTATCTAGTCTCCTGTCCGATACCTGGCTCCCATACCTACTAGAGACTCCTGTCAGATTCAGCGTTGTATTTCACGAAATAGCCCATGCCATTATTTCATGCCCTTTGCAGTCTCTGCCCTGTCTGGAATGCCTTTTGCTCCCTTCCAGTGGGAACATGCCCTGTGAATTTCCATTCATATTTCCAGACCAACTCATACCATCTCTTCATGAAGACTTACGCACACTGCCCAAAAGACTCATTTTTTAAATTTTCTGTTCTTCCTAGCAGAATTAAATCAATTTTTATGAGTCTTACTATGTTATATGTAATGATTTATGTATCTGAATCTGCCATCACTTTGTGACCTCCTGGAGAGACTGTCTTACTCCTCTTTGTATTTTCAGGGCCTAGCAGAGTGCTAGACACACACAAGGGAAGAACACATTTGTTAGGCCCAACTGTCATTCAACTTACAAGGATAAATACTGAAAAGTCAGATTGGAAGAGGAATGAGAAGGTGTTAAGAGTCAACTTTGAAAGTACAGAGCCGAGGTACCTGTGGGTCGTTTAGGTGGAGATGTTAGAACAAAGTGGAAAAGCTGAGTTACGACCTGGTCCCAGCCTTAAGCACCCCCCGGCTCAGTCCTCCTCCTTCCTCCTACCCCCGGCTGATACCAGTAGCAGCGGCGCTGCCGGTGGCTGCAAGGGTTTTAACTTGCACCTTCTTTCTGATCTCACCGTAAGAGGTCTCTGAAGTGGGCCCTACTGTAATCCTCATTTTACAAATGAACAGATAAGCCTGTAGTGTTCAAATAACCTGACGGAGGTGGTCACACTGCTAAAAAGCGGCAGAGGTGTGAATCCATTCTCACCTCACAACCCTGAAGCGGTCTTCTGCAGAAGTGCTGGCAACCTCCTAATTGATGGATCCAGTAGCCACATTCCAGAAATCCCTGTTTACTTAAACAACTTCATTGAGATCTAATTCACATACTGTACAATGCACACATTTAAAGTGGTGAGCCTTAATGTGTATTACCCATGTGGGAGCATGTATCGGTACTTCATTTCCTTTTTATTGTCACATAATACTCCACTGTATAGATATACCCCATTTTTAAAACGTGTTCATTGGTTTGTAGACATCTGCGTTATTTGTACTTTTTGGTTAATACAGATAATGCTGCCGTGAATTGTGGATAAGCTTTTGTGTGGACATTTGTTTTCATTTCTCTTGGATGTATACCTAGGGGTGGAATTGCTGGTAACACGTGGTATACATTTAACTTTTTTGAGAAATTATCAAATTGTTTTCCAGAGCAACTGCAGCGTTTTTACTCCCATCAGCAGTGTGTAAGGGTTCTAATTTCTCCACATCCTTGTCAACACTTGTGTTATTGTCCATCTTTTTTATTCTAGCCATCTTGGTGGAGGTGAAGTGGTATTGTGGTTTTGATCTGCATTTCCCTGGTGTTCCAGGGAGTGGTGTTGAGCATCTTTTTTCCCAGTTTTACTGAGATAGAATTGATACACAGCACCGTAGAAGTTTGAGGGGTACAGCATAAGGGTTTGGCTTACTGTGGTGTGAAATGATTACCGCAGTCATTTTAATAAGCATCTATCATCTCATATAGACACAATAAGAAGAAAAAGAAAAAAAATTTCTTCCTTGTGATGAAAACTCTTAGGATTAACTCTCAGTAGCTTTACTATCATCTAGCAGTGTTAACTGTAGTCCTCCTGCTGTACAAGTACTCACTTCTCTCATAATTTCAAGTTTCTACCTTGTGACCACCTTCCTCCAATTTCCTCCTACCTCTAGTAACCATAAGTCTGATCTTCTTTTTTTTCTACGAGTTTTGTTTTGTTTTGTTTGTTTGTTTTTAAAGATTCTCCGCATAAGTGAGATCATACAGTTTTTGTCTCTGATGTTGAACATCTTTGCATGTTCTTAGAAGTCTCTTGAACTCCAGTGTGTTTGACACTATGGACCACTTGTAGCCCCTCGATACTCTCTTCTCTCTTTTCTAGGAGTACTTTCTCTAATGATTTCCTATCTTTTTCATTCTCATGACTTCAGCTACCATGTATCCACTGATATCACTGTCTCCAGCCCCTACCTCTCTTCGGGACTCCATACTCGTGTTTCCGGTTGCCTGCCAGACATGTCCATTTTTCAGTGCCCTACTGGCAACTCTTTATCTGGTTGCCTTATTTAGACTGATGATATTACCATCTGGAAATGATGGCTGTCATTGGTTCCACCCTTTCTTCCCCACATTCATAGATCACTAAGTCCCATAAATTGTAACCTCTACAATTTGCTGGAACACATCTCCTTCCTTTCAGTCTCTGTTGCTGCTTTCTTAGTTGAAGCCCTGTCCTTTCTTGTTGGACCCCTTGCAACAGCTTCCAAACTTTCCCTTTGCTGCTTGCCTTAATTCTTCACACTGTGATAGGGTAATTTTTTCCAAAACACAAATTTGAAAAATTTTTCCAGCATAAAATCCTTAGTGGCTTTCTATCACCTATGAGACCTTTATAATGTGGCCCTGCTGCCTTTCCAAGTTCCATTTCCTGTTTCTCCTCCACACATACCTGTGTTGCAGTTGTACCAAACTGCTTGTGGTTCTTGTGAAATGTGGTGCCTCACGTTTCTGTTTATTTCCTTACTTCTGTATCTTTGTATACTTTTTCTTCCCTCTGGAATGTCTTTCTACCCTATTGTTTACCTGATGGACCTCTACTCTTCATTAATGACACTACTCAAATGTCACAGCAAGCCTTGCCTACCTCCCAGTATGCAGATTTAATTGTTGTAAAAACAGCTTACAACATGTTTTATATGCAGCCCTACCATATTTCCTAGCAACCAGTGTATCCCTCTATTTGCACTATACTCAGTTTTTTAAAACTTCATTATGGAACTTGTTAGGTATGTACAGAAGTAGAGAGAATAAACCTCAGCACACCTATTCATCTAGTTCAACAATTACCCTCATGGCCGATTCTTTGCTTGTTGTTTAGTCTGTATTTCCAGACATCATATCATTTTATCCATTAAATACTTCAAGCACTCATATTCTGTCTTGGCAATGATTTATTTTCATGTCATTTTCTTTGACCCAAGAGCTAAGGTAGGAATTATGTCTTATTTTCTCCTTATTCATCATTGGACACATCGCAGACCCATCATTAATTATTCGTTGAATGAATAAACAATGCTGAATTAACTGATTAGTTGAGAATAGAGTAGAGGTTTGGGGTCTGGGGAACAGTTATATGAATGGATAGACAGAGGAAGATAGTCAAGCAAAGGATACTGAAAGGAAATAGTCAGAATACTGTCTAGATGAAAATGTTTTAACTATCCATACTATAATGAGCTAAAATCAGGGCAGCTGTAAGTGGGGACTGTAGGAAATAGTTCGAGGATTTTCTGAAGCTCCCATTATGGATTTCAAGGAAACTAAATAGTCTGAGATGGGATGGAGAGTCTTTTATGACAAAGGCTTTGGATTAGCCATATGTTGGGAGGACATCACAAACCATGAGTTGTGTAAAGAAAAATTGCAATCACAAATTTTATATGCTAAGTATGGCGAGATTATAAATCATGCCTTCATCTCCTCAGCCATCCTTAAACAAATTGTCATTCCCCATCCATGGTATTATTACTTCCAAGGTATTAAAGGCAGGAGTATCAATAGTAGTACTGTGGGATATATATAAATAAGGAAGAGACTTAAAATTAGTTTTTTCATCCATCCTGTATATCTGCCATGTTGTTTGTTAGCACTGAAAAATGGAGATAAGCCTGGTATATCTGTCTAATCTAGCAGCTAGGCTGGTGTCTGGCACATATTAGATGTTTAAGTAAATGTATTAAAAGTCTAAAAGAGGTATTGGCAGCTCTCGTCTCCCATTTTTAATGGTCTCATCTCTTATTGTTCCTCTATAAATTTAGGTCCAAAGCACTCATTGACCCAGATCTCTCAATCTATGCTGGATCTCTGTGATGAAAAACTCAAAGAGGTAAGATATTTAAAATGAGAGAAAGGGAGGGGCAACTGGCTGGCTCAGTCAGAAGAGTAGGCAACTCTTGATCCTGGGGTCATGAGTTTGAGCCCCATGTTCGGTGTAGAGATTACTTAAATAAATAAACACTTAAAAATGAATAAATAAAATGAGAAAAAGGCATGGAATTTGAGGGGAGCTGGTAGCAGGGTTGAGGAAGGAGGGACTGTAACAGAAAGAAGAGTAGAGAAATGTAGGAGTAGCAGATCTTTAGTGTGTTAGAGACTGGAAGGGACCTTTGAAATCTCATAATCCAATTCTTTCTTTTATAGGTGGAAAAACTGAGATCCGTAGAAGAAAATTACTTGCCCTGGGCATCATGGTTATTAAGGAGTGTGGCTAGGATTGAAATCTAGAACCCACATAACTTGAGAAAGGGCCAAGGAAAGTGAATTTCCAAGAAGTCAGCTAGAGCTGAGAGACTGTGTTTTGGCAGAGAGGAATTTTACTTTTTAAAAGATTTACTTTGGAGAGGGAGTGGGGAGAGGGGCAGAGGGAGAGGGAGAGAGAGAATCTTAAGCCCAGCACGGAGCCTGACATGGGGCTGGATCTCACAACCATGAGATCATGACCTGAGCTGAAATCAAGAGTTGGACGCTTAACCTACCGACTGAGCCACCCAGGCGCCCCTGAAAGATTTTCTATATTTCATTTTCTTTTTTCTCAAGATTTTATTTATTCATTTATTTCGGGGGGGGGGAGGAGCAGAGGGAAAGGGACAAGCAGACTCTGTGCCAAGCATGGAGCCTGATATTGGGCTCGATCTCAGGACCCTGAGATCGTGACCTGAGCCAAAATCAAGAGTCAGATGCTTAATAGACTGAGCCACCCAGGCACCCCTATATTCCATTTTCTTACCAAAAAAATGGCACCTTACAAACTTACAAAAAATGGAAGTATGATGATGATAATATTAAAGTAGACATTTCATAAAAGAGGATAATCAGATGGCTGATAAACATGGAAAGATTCCTCAACTTGATCATTGGGGAAATGCAAATTTAAACCATGTTGAGATACTACTACATGCCCACCGGAAAGGCTAAAATCTAAAAAGACTAAAAAATAAATTAAAAAACTGGTAGTACTAAGTATTTGTGAGGACGTGGAGCAATTGGAACACAAACTTTTTTTTTTTTTTTTAAAGATTTTATTTATTTGACAGAGACACAGCGAGAGAGGGAACACAAGCAGGGGGAGTGGGAGAGGGAGAA